AATTCAAAATATCAGGATTAGCGTTGAGTTGGAGGTTTTATACATAAAGGGCTACTGTATAAAACCTTGAACTCAACGCTATTCCTGACATTTTGGATTCAAAAAGCTTCCTAGATGGGAAACAGAATGCCTTCAAATTTGGAAACAAAGTCCATTGTTTGGATTGATTTTTTTAAAACTTTTTTTTGGAGATTTACTTTGGATAGAAGACGAAGATAATAAAACCTGATTTTAAAACACCATTGATTTGTTTATGGAATTTAGAATCGCTATCTATGATGACGCCAAGGCTGGTGACTTTGGGACGCAAATACTTTTGGAGAGATCCCAAGTTCATGTGGAAGTTCCAGCACAGGTTTAGCGCGCCAGTGGCTAAAACTTTCATAGTATTGCTTTAATCAAGACTACTTAAAAACAGACACTTTTTACAGTTCAGGTCACTTTTCCAAGTAAAATAAAAAACATATACCTTTCTATTATTTATTTTTATTTTCAACCGTATTTGCTGCATTGTGAGGATAATTTCAAGCCTTGTTTTCCTGTTACACTTTCATAGGGAGAGAAATATCTCATCCTAAAGAAAAAGTACAGACACTTGATGCAGGAGCGGGAAACTAAACATCATGGGCCAGACGGAGAGCCAGAGAGACGTCAGAGCCCGGCCACTGCAGAGTGGGACACCCAGACAGCATCAACCTGCAAGAAGGAAGAGCAGGAGGAGCCGATGTCATGTGGAGAACATGAAGAAGAGGTGAGTTTTAGAGCTCTGTTCAAAATGTTAAACGGCTAAAAAGTAAAAGCAATGAGGGGGTCATGATTCAGAACGATGCTGGGTTCTATAAGCTGCCGTTGTTGCAGTTCTGCATCTGTTTATTCTTTATGTATTGGATGCATTTGTTCTGAACAAGGCCCGTGTTGTCAGTGCACTCTGCTTTTTTTCTGCAGCCTGTGTCGGCCTTGAATGAATGAATGTTTGTTTGCACTGAAAGCCGCTGACAGGGAATAATAAAGCTTTTTTACTGTGGTGAACCAAAGATGTCTAAAACAAGAGGAAGGGTCAAAGATTTGAAGCCTAAAAAATCCCAAAAACAGAAACAAAAACATCCAAAATAAAAAAAACACAGCTCTTTGAGAAAAGTCTCATTAACAGATGTCTGCTGGAAGTATTAATGTATGTTATTGAAATTAAGAATAATCTATGGAGTGTTTTATTCCCTGTTGTTGCAAGCAAAATCATAGCTTGTAAATAAAAGTTTGAAAAAAACGTCTTTATCAGAACAGGGAAAGTAACTTCTGTTTTCTCTGCTATTTTTTTGTTTTTTTTAGATTTTTTTCCCCTTGATTTTATTTTTTAGGTAGTGTTTTTTCTCTTTTTTTTATATTTTATTTCTTTATTTCTCTTTAAATTTTTGGAATTGCATTTTACAGAATCTATTTACTCACCTCTGGAGGGAAGAGCAAAGAACATTTTAATCAGCCTGCATGAACATTAGCACCAACATTTTGAGCTTGAAGTGAAGAGAATGTGATCTGTTACACAGAACTAGCTAGATTCAAGTTCTAAAACTTAATCTAAAAATAAATATCTAAATAAAAAATCCTAATCTATCTGTAAAAAAAAAAATGGGAGAAAGAAAAAAAAACATCTAAAAAATGACATCTGAGAACACAGCAGACTTACCCTCAAAACATTTATTTGCTTAATAAGTTTCATTTCTAGATTTCATTTGTTTTCTTTTTTTTTTATGTCCATTTTTTTATATTAATTGCTTGCAACAATAATGGAACCAAATTCACTCCATATTGCCCCATTATAAGTTTGGAAGATCAAACTTTTATTAATGTTTTCACAAATATGGTTCAAAGCAGCACAAAAGCAACCATGTGCCGCCCACACCCAGTTTCAGTTCAAAAGAAAGCGAGAATAAAAAGCATGATGTCGATCTAACTGAGTGAACACTGTAATCGCACAGCTGCACCAGGCGAACCCAGCTAACCATGCATTAACTTATCCATCCACTCATAACATTCATCACATTCCAGGGATTGAATGATATTTTATTTCAGGATTATTTTAGTATGTAATCAATTAATAAAAAAAATAAAAGGAAATATATTTAAGTTCTTATATCCTCATTATAAGCTTTTGAAAGTCAACTATAGGCAAATATATGATGAAAGAATGCCTTTACATATATGTGGATATTAATTTGTCATAAAATATAACTGTCTTCTTCCAACCAGTGGACAAACACAGCCTCTACTATACGGGTTTTAACCTATTTAATGACGTCTTCGTATCACGTCACTTTCTTGGTCTGAACATAGTTCTAGACCTCTCAGAGCCAAAAAGCAGATTATCACTTATTAAACATTAGAAAAAAAAAGAAAAGTTGCCGCCCTGTGCATATTAGCTTTTAAAAGAGACACATTTTTCTACTTCAAGCTCTGTCTCACATCACCCCTTCCTGATCAGAGAAAGTGGGTGCTTGTTTAGAGTGCAGGTGCAACCAGTTAAGGTAGGTGCTTCCTTGACAGAGATACTCTTCAACCACTAATTTTCACTACTGCTGCTTAGACAGTAAAACTAATCAGGATGACTCAGAGACGCATCAATCAAGCAATTTAGCACTTTGTGCACAATTATGGTTGAACAATTAGCATTAGAGCACAATTTAAGCTAGCCTGACGTAGTCCGACTCAATTCTAGTCAGAATATGAGTCTGATGCTGCTCCATAGAGCTGTGATTATGGGGCGTGTTTCGAACGAACCAGGAAAAAAAATGCCTCTG